CATTTTTAAGTGAGAGACAGAGTGACATAGAAATAAAATTACCTGCGTGAGGAACACACGTGGTGTACACAGTACACAGATCAGAGAGACAAGACTGTAATGGAGAACTTTTTTGGGTTTGGTTTTCATTTTTGCCAGATTCCATTGCCATTGAATATGGCTTTTCCTCAACACCGTGTTGACTCCTCATTTCTCTCCTAACACCTACTGACTGCAGAGGAAGCTGAGTCCTACTTTAACTCGAAAATTTCACTTTCCAGCCATAATGTGTTTTTCTACATTTCAAAGTTCCTGTGAAAGAGGTTCTTAGAAATATGTAATTGCAATATTATTTTTACATTCATTTTCTGTTACTTTTCTACACAGCTTCCCTAAATCTTTCCACCATGAAGCAGCTCCCTGGAGAGACAATTCGGCTCCTTTCAAGTTCTCAGGTGATTACTTCAGTTGTCAGCGTGGTGAAGGAGCTGATAGAAAATTCCTTGGATGCCAATGCTACAGGCATTGATATTAAACTGGTAAGTCTTTCTCTCAAAAAGAATTGGATATAAAATAAGATGCCAGGAAAATTGCTCCACTGCAAATGTGGTTTTTTAGGCTATTGTGGTTTGGGGATTGGTGATGATTATTATATATTTATACGTGTATATTTTTACCTCAAGTAAAAATGATAAAAAATTAGTTTTCATTTGTGTTTTTGAGGTCCTGCTCTGAAACAGTAAGGAATATTTGTGCTTCTGAGTGTATCGTGGGGAAAAAACTGTCAGCTTTTTTAATCCTCCTTTTTCTACTAAAAATTTACCTTTTCTGACTAATAGCCTGTTTTAAAAGATGTTGAACTTAGGTTTGCTGTTAGGCTGACATATTTAATGCTCATTACCAAGTATTGTAAGAAAGGTGAAAATGGAGACAGTGGAAAAGCTTAATGACCGTTCAAAACAAAAAATGGTTTTATAATACAAATCACTACCCTGTTTCTAATTGGCATGGTGAACTCTGGCTACTTCTAACTCTTTATTTTTATAAGCTGTTTAAAAAAGTTGACGTGTCACCCAAGGATAATTTCTGACAATAGAAAATACTACTTTTAATAAGGAGTTTGAGCTTTTTTTTCCCTACAAATTGGGTAAAATGGGTAACTGGTCAGCTTCGTTTGCTGTCATATTTCTTCTTTTGCAGTGTTTTGTCAGCAGCTGTATAGTAGCAGTATCTCCTGCTTAGTAAGAAAGAACTGTTGTTATATCCTGTATAAATGTAGGTATTCAGAATTGTATCCAATTTCCTTTCTGCAAATAACAGTGAATGTATAGGATATTCTTGAATTAAGCATTAGATAAATGCTCTTCACTAGGAGGGAAGTTCAGTTTCTTCTTGTTTCTTTGTCCATGTCTGCTATATTTTCTGAATTACTCTAGAGTTTTTTCCATCTGAGAATGATTTCCTGCAGATACCAAGGAACATGTTTGTTACTGCTTTGAGTGAACTGAAGATGTTCTGTCTGTGCTATGGTCCCTCGTAATCTCTGTCTTCTCTATGTTAAGATTGCAGAGTATTCTTGCTTCATGAGTAACTCCAGTGTGAGTAGTGTGTGCACAGTTGTGGGGGTAAAGGATATTGGGATCAGATCCTGGGAGCTGATCAGTAGCTGCAAGAAATGAACAGAAAGGTTTGGAAGTGTTTCAGAATGGTTGGAAGAAACCTTGCAGAGGTGAGAGCCCTCTAACTAGTGGAGATTTCACAGCACAGAAACCAACTGTGTCCCAAATCAATTAAAAAGTGCATTTTAAACCATTTTAAGTGCATGAATTATCTACACTACTCTTACATTCTTGTGTCAGTCCAGCCCAATCTGAAACACTGTAGTTCCAAACAAACAAACCTGACTTTCTGCAAGTTGCCACTGATTAAAAGAGATTTGATTATTGTTCTTCTGTGGGTACTAGGGGAGAAGATAAAACCTGCACTCTGCACAATTCCAGACAGTAATACTGTAAAATAATGGATTTTTTTCTGGTACTTTTTAATGGGAAATTAAAATAACTCTGACTATGTAATAGAGGTCAATGACCACGTTAATTCTGGATTAGTTCAAAAACATAATAGAGAAACTTTGAAATTCCATTTTACAGCTTGATGGGTTTTGCCTGAAACTGCAGCATTTTCATTGTTTTAATCTTTTTCAGCTGGAATAGGGAGGCATAGTTTATCCAATTTGCCTGAACAAAGATAACAATTCCTTTTTGACAGACAGACAGGAATTAAGCTGAAGATGGAATGGCTCTCAGACAAGAGTCATGGCAGTGGTGAGCTGTAGTGGGAAGCTTTGGCTGGTGTTTAAGTCTGGGATTGACCAAACGCCCATAGGTGATGTTATTTGGCATCTTTGCACTGTGTATCCAAGCTGAATCATACTGATTGGCATCAGTGACCTGGCAGAGCAACTTAAACATTTCATGGGTTCATAACCTTGGTAAGATTCAGCTCATGGAGGAAGGCGTTACAAAATACAAAGTTTAAGCACTGTAATACTTACATAAAACATGCACAAGTAAAAATGAATAAGATTAGAAGAGAAATAGAGAATCATTTGTGTAACATTTTGATTTAAGACAAATCTCACTTTTCTTAACCAGCTAACTGGTCTGAAAGTAAAAACTAGAATGGAAAATAGGGGTTCATTGTAAAATGCTCAAATCTTTCATTAGCACCTATAGCAGCAGGGTAGAGGGTTTCCTGCCTCTATTTCCTTATGTGTTTTTGTGCTCAGTGAAGGTGTATTGCTTAGTTCTGTTTTGCTGCCCAGTGGAGGTTGTCTCAAACACGAGCAAAAGCATTGTTTTTTCACCTGAAGACAGCTTTTGCACCGTTCATTACAACAGAAAGTGACATGTACCCCTATTTCTGTTGTGTTTTGTGTATTGTGGTTCTGAGCCTACCTCAGAGGCTTTTGATGTTTCCTAAAGCAGATTATGTATGAATGCAGATAGTTTCTTTAGTTACCTTTCTTTTGGTTTTGATTGGGTCATTTTTTTACTTCAAGAAATACTCTTGTGAGTACATTATAGTTTTTCATAACTGTTTTCAGGATAGGCCCAGGTAGGAGAGCAAAGTTTGTTTAATCAATCTGCTTTCAGTGATCAACCATCACATGCTCTGTCCAGCATCAGTGGTGGCAACTGCTGTTTTAAGATACTCTTTCTAAGCAAAACTAGTTTTAAGGTCACCTAGATGTATTACACACTACAGCACTTTTTTTGTGCATTGCATCATAATCTTTTTCAAAGAGCCAGTCTTGCTTCTGTGAAAGAAGCTTAGTTAGTGATCCTGCAGCTCTGATTACTTTCTGTGGTTCTTCCGGGTGCTACTTACTTGTGCAGACTGTAATGTAGCTGGAAAGAATTCTTTGCTGCACTTGTTTGAGATGTTACAGAACCTAAATTTTACCTTTTATTTAGCTGTTGTAAATACCTGGGTTTCAGAGTTTTAGCCTATTTATGCTGGTGCTTACTGGAATGACATATTTGAACTGGAATTCAGTAGAATATGCATCGTATGTCTGTAAAGGTGAATCACAAAGATTGAACTTTGCTTCCTTGAAGGCTGTTTTAAAAGAGCCTCTGGGAACCTTTACTTCTTTTTTGTAAAGTACTGTATCTCTTTACAAGCTTTTCTATTACCCTCACCATTCATGCCTTTCCCCTCATTAGAATTTCAGCTTCTGTATATTGAACTTGGAAAACAACTTGGAAAATATGGTGGAATCACATCAGTTAAAATTGAAACTGAAAGTGACATGAAGTAAGGGTCTACTCAATTCAATACACAGAGCTGCATTCAAGTGATTTCAAAAAAATTGATACCAAGTAGGTAAGAGAGATCAAAAGAGGTGAAAAATCTTCAGCTTTCCAGCTATAGATCTCCTTTTGAGCTTAGGTTTTGATGTTTCCAAATCACAGGATGTTAATTATGTTATTTAATTGGAGAAACCATCACTGTTATCCTAACATGGTGTATTTTTCGTTTTCTTTTTTTTCTTTAAACAGAGATGTTTAATGGTTGTTCAGTTCCTCCAGGCAAGCAAAACTTCCACTTCTGTATGGATAGTTAGAAGCAGTAACCTTAGCTATTTCAAACTTATGTCTTAATTAATTTGGTTGTTCTACTGCTCCTTTGTGTTTTGTTCTTATTTTTAGGAGAATTATGGGTTTAGCAAAATAGAAGTAAGAGACAATGGCAGTGGAATCAAGGTTGATGATGTTCCAGTTATGGCAATTAAACACTACACCTCAAAAATCAGCTCATCTGAGGATCTTGAAAGGCTGACAACGTATGGTTTCCGTGGGGAAGCTTTGGGATCGATTTGCAGTGTATCAGAGGTGAGCACTTGCTATAAATGTGTAGCCTTTGTGTTACAAATGTTCTTGTCTGTATGTGTTCATGAAAGTTTTATTCTGTGCAAAGAGTTTAAATGTTCCAGCGTCTTGCCAGGGATATGCTTGTGTATACTGCCTTTCTCCCCAGCCCCAGAAGCCATGTCATAGGGATTTCTTGTTTGTGTCAGTCCTGCCTTTCTGTCACACAGGTCACAGCAGTGCTCTGTTTGTTTTGCTCAATCAGAACAGTTAACAGATTGTGTTGTATTCTCTTTCTTTTTATATCAAGGACTATCATGTCAAAGAGTTTTATCTGGCTTTGCTATGTGAATTTGGGTAAATCAGGAGAGGAGCAGCAGGTGATGGGCAGAAGAAGTAATTTCAGGGAACTGATGGCCCACATAGCCACCATTCCAGTAACGATTCCTGCCTTGTTATCTAGGTGATCAGCAGTCATGGGATCTTGCTGGGCTCCTTATTGCTCTTTGACATGTATGTGACTGCAATTGCACAAACTTTGTCCCTGTGAGTAAACAGGAACCTGCTACCTGACCTATCTGAGTCTGAGCCGTATGTTTGTGTTAAGAGGATTGGCAGTGTACTGACATTTGCAACTTAACTTGTTGGCTAAAAGTAAATAAATTTATTCAAAACTACCTGAAAAGCGTTCAGGCTGCTAAAGGCACGGCATCTGCCAGATCTCTTGTGCTTTCCCTTTCTGAATTCATGCTGCACCAAGGTCAAGTTTTGGGTTCAAGTCTGCTGAGGACTAGATGGTGCAGGAAGAAGATACCAGTGCCTGTGTCTGGTTGGAACTGTCAGCTGTTGGGGTCAGGAGAGATAATGTTACAGCTTCACTCCTTGGTACCTTGGGCTGCATTCACATTGCACTAAGCAGGAGTGGGTTGTGTATTTGGATGGAGATTTCCAAAGATGCTTTCAAAAGTGTTGATGTTTTGATAGATGATGACAGACCTCAGTCATTGGTTCCTTCTAATGAGCTCTCAGAGCAGATTGCCTTCTGTTCAGAGCTTCTAATCAGCTCTATGGTACGTTTCATAAGAGATGGGAGGTGGCCTGAGTCTATGAAGTGCTTTAATAGGTATTACTCCTTGTATCAGTAATTATGCTAATTGACACTCCTGGCATTAATTGTGTTCTGCCTACCCAAACTGCCCTCTGAAATTTCAGTTTGAAGGTACTTTGTTATTGGCCCTTAAGTAGGTCTGCAATACTGTAATCTCCAGTTAATCACTTAGTGTTTTTCTCTCCAGGGGCATGACTGAATGCTGAATGATTCATGGGAGACACTAAAATAAACCAAAATATCCTGAAACTCTGTATGTGTGTTAAACTTGTTCCAGGTGGTTAAAGGGCAGTGGTTCTGTGCCACTGTATTGGTACCTGAACTCTGATTTATGACTGCTCTTGCTAAAGCAATCTGTGTATTACCTTAATAGCTTACAAAACTTGCTGTGGCTGATGGCCAGATATGTTTAGGTGTGGAAAGATAATATATTGGTTTTTAGAGAGTAGTCTTTAAGTTTGTGGAATCTCACATGAATTTGTTTTAATTTTTCTCACAGAGGGTAAAAGTGCAGAACTGTCAATTGATAAAGTTTATTTAATCTGAGCTAGAATAGAAGATAAAGCTATGTGTGTTGTAGATAGTAGGAATTGCTGTGCTTTTTCAATTAGTGTGATAGAAATGCTTTTGTTTAAATGGCAGGAAACAGGCAGGATATGCAGAATGTTTCTGTGTCTGTATGAAATACCTGTTGAAGAAGAATTTTATAAACTAATTAAATGCAATTATGGTGACTAAATTAACAGTGGTTAGTGTGGTAGCAAAGCTTATCTGAGCTCATTTGTCTGCACCTGATTAAGTTTTTTTAAATTCTCTTCAGGTTTTGGTCACAACAAAGACAGCTGCTGATGATTTCAGCATTCAGTATGCTTTGGATAGCAATGGGCATGTAACCTCCAAAAAGCCTTCCCATCTTGGGCAAGGTAAGCTATCACTATTCTGGTGCTGCAAGGTGACAGATGTATTTTGTGTTTCTCTGAGGCTCTTTCTGATGTTGAAATACCTATTGGTTACTTAAAGCTGAGTATGAAATCTGCAGCTGTAAACGTTTCTTGCCTTGTGTCTGTCAGCTCAGAATGTGTTGTCATAGCATAAGAAATGAAATGTCTTGGAAGTTGTTCTAGATTGTAATTATAAACTAGTTTCTCCTTCTCTGACTCACTTCTTCAAGCTGACAGTGGAAATAAAACCTGTAAAAATTAAATGCTTCAAGTCTGTATATGAAAGATTTCTTCAGGACCAAAGTAATGTTTCTGTATGTAGCAAAATCTGCTTAAAGGAGGAAGAGTTGCCCTGATGCCATACATAGGAATTGCTGGAAGCAGCATGGCTGTAAGACGAGGCAAAGTCACAGTTCTTTTTAACCTGCAGGAAGGGTGTGTACCTAATTTTCACTAAGGATTCTTTTAAAGATTTAGCCTGTATAGTGTTTTCCACAGCCAGAAAGCCTGCAGGTTGCAATGCCTTGTCTTTCGTTGAAATTGTTGAATTGTCTGACATATTTAGTGCTTTGCAATATCCCTATGGGCTAGGAATTTATGTGGCTGTGTTGGTAGAAGAATATTCCTATATTCCTTCTCCTACTGTGTAGTGTACCTTGGGCAGAGGTATTTGGCACTTCAGGTACTACCCTAAAGCAAATGCTTGTGAAGGCTCTTAATGAAGCACAGTGTTCCTTTGCCTCCAGATATGTGTGATTAGATTCTAGTCTCTTAATTAATCATTTTGCTAATGAGGGCTTACTTATGCATTGAGAGAGTCCTCAGCTTTATTTAGTGCTGATCATTGGTATTATTAGTGTGTATGAAAGAAAACTTAGTGCTGCAGTCATAATTCTAAATAAAGGAGAAGAGTCAAAATTCTTGAGATACCTTTTTTTGGGGGGGGGTGACTGCTAATTTGGTATATTTCTTTTCATGCTAGTAACCTGATTTAGCACAGCAGCATACAAACATGTTTGTTTAAGTAAAAATAGTTTCCTCAATATCCAATCAGTGATTTGCTTTCAGTGTAATTTCTACTTTATTTTTTATCACCTGCTTGTAGGTACTACAGTAACAGTCCTCAATTTGTTTAAGAATCTTCCTGTAAGAAAGCAGTTTTACTCAACAAATAGAAAATGTAAGGAAGAACTTAAAAAAGTCCAAGATCTACTGACAGCATATGGTATCATAAAACCAGACCTGAGGATAACATTAACACATAATAAGGTAATAATGAGTTTTTTTCTGTCAGCTCTGTGCAGTTCATGTAGTACTTATATAAAACCTTTCATTCCTAAAACTTTTCTTTCATCATAGCTTTGTTTTGGACTTCCACTTACCTTTTCCTTTCATAGGTGTGTATTTATAATGGCTACAGATTTTGATGTTAAACTCCTAAAACTCAGGCTCAGGTATTTTTATTCTCTTGCAACAGATGCCTGTTTAGATATATGAAGTATAAAAATAATTTTACATGCTAGTGATGAGTAAAGATGGTGATCATGTTTTGCAAAGAAAGAAGTGAGACCATACTAGATCACAAGGCCTGATAAAGTGTTAATCAAAGCCACCTGAAAAATCTTGCAAAACTTACTATTTTAGGCTGTCTATCTGCATAGAAGCTATAGTTCATACAGGCAGCTTGCTGTATTCTGAGTCAAAAGAGCTCAGTACATAACCATGATTTTATTAAAAAGGCTGGAAAGTTTAAAACAATTTGTGTCGTTTGTGTAAGAGCAGTAACAGATGTTATAAGAAGCTTTAGCTGAGCTAGTTGTTCTTGGTTTAGACTTGGGAGGATGAACTTGGAGAGGTTACTTTGGCTTCTTTGCATGCTGAGTGGTAATTCTACATCACAGCTACAGAAATGACGTGTCGAGCAGTTTGCCTTAACCTGACCCAAGTTGAACATAACAAATTTCATTGGCTGTGCCCAGGCTTTTTTTGAGGGGTAAGCTGTGCTAATGAACTTCCAAGTTGCCACAAAGTAGAGAGTGACATCTTGTGGTCAGATCCCTCAGCAGTTCTGTTTCTGTTCTGAAATAATGCTGTGTGTTGGTATTTGTCCTGCTCATTGAGACTTGATCAGTGCCCCATCAATCAAACATTCACACTACAATTCCTTTTCAGTTGGAATAGGAAGAGGCACTGTGTGCTTTTCTGAAATGACAAGAGACTTCCTTTTCTAGACTCGTTGAACATGCTTTGATTGTATTTATGTATGTGTTTTTAAGTATCACTGTGGAGATACTGTGAAAAACTAGAGCTGACTGCAGAATTGGTATTTCAAGGCCGAGAAAGAGTAGCTACTTGCAGTTTTATTTAATTGAGATCACTGAGAATTTGAAACCAGACATCCTGGGGGGTGTCTGCTTCCAAGATTGTATTGAGCTCCTCAACATATTTACTGGTGGTCTTAAATGTTGGTTAATAAAACTAATTTTGTCTTCTTGGTGGTTTGTTTTTGCCCTCTCCAACAAGTTGCAAATGCTGTTTTCTTTATGGTATTTTGATTTCATCCCTTTGATCAGACTATTGAGTATCTTGGGATTTTTTTATTTCTCTGCTTATTTTAATGCAGTGGCAGTAAGGTACAAGAAGGTGATTACATGTATTTTTCCCAAAACTTCCTGCAAAAATGGTGTGAAGAGTGGCATGATAGTTGCCATTGCACACTGGGGTTTTTTTTTGTACCTCTCTTATTATCTTCAGAGGTGCATTCTTCAATACCCAATTTGAGGGGTTATATGAATAAAGTTTCATTCCTTTTAATGACAGAGATGGTGCTGGTTTTTTGAACTCTTCATTTTGCACTGCCAGCCTTTTGTTCGTTTTTTTGTTGTTTTTTTTTTAAATAAGTGAGAAAGTGCTCAAACATTTCATCACAAGAGGTCGCTCAGTAGCTATTGCTGAGACAGGAAAATTAAAGGCTTAAGTAGACAGAAGTGTAGTCTGTGCATGTGGAGATGCTTTAAAATAGTCTGAAAGTTAAAAACTGAACTGAACTTTAAAAAAATTGAATTAATATTCCTGTCTTTCTACTGCCATTGGCATTCTATGCAAAATAAAAAGTCACCCGTTGTATTACACTTTTTTAAAAATTTGAAATTCTGAATTTCCAGTGTGTAGCAACCTGCAGTACATAAATTTACCTTATCACAGAACATGAATGTTCTTTATTTCTTCTGACTTTATATGCTAAATATTGTTGTCATTACAATTATCAATTTGGATCAGAAATGTGTTTTTTCTATGCAGACAGCATATCTGTGCTGTAGTAACACTCTGCTAAATAGTGGTGATTTTTTTTGTGTGTGTCTCTGTTATATTTTTGTTAGAAATGTACTAGGAGAAAGAATCAACTTTATTTTTTATGTAGCTCATAGATGATGTGTTCATTTAAAAGACAAATTGTATATGCAATTATTGAGAGGACTTCTTAGAATCCCAAATTCTTGAGGCTGAGCCAGTACTTTCTGTTGCAATGGAAGAAGATACATGTTGGGAGTACGATCAGGTTCCGGGCCTTAAAAGAGCAAGAAGATAGCAGAGATGAGCTATTACAGAATGAGACAAGGAAAGATGGATTGAAAGACTAGAAAAGATAGTAAGTGAACAAAAGTGTAAATGAAAATATGTTTCAAGGATGTTTTCTAAATAAATCACAAAATTAGTACTTTTGGGAAAAAAAGCTGCACCAGAAAACAAGATCAAAAACAACCCTCCCCCAGAAAAACCAAATCTCCCCCAGTTTTAGAGTCCTGTATTTTATATGAGGTTGAAGGAGAATGCTGGGTTGGATGGGGTTTAAGCAGCTGGTCTTGAGAAAGGTGCCCATGGCTGGGGAGGTTGAACCAGATGATCTGCAAGGTTCTTTTCGACCCAAACCATTCTATGATTCTGTGAAAGCCTAGCCCTGGCATGCTGGGGAAGAACTTAGTCAGGCTGAAGCTGTCACAAAGTATCTGAGGTTTGGCATCTGAAAATGGTTGCCTGATTGGTTCCAGCAGAAACTTATTTTGGCAAGGCAGGCATCTTATTGAGCTGTTGAAGTATAGATGGTTTTAGGATGCATACTACATTGCATGTTCAATTTCCACCATGTTTGATTGTTTTTCTCTAAAGGTGTATGTCTTATGCTTTTGAATGAAATTTCCAGAATTTTTTCCTTCTTCCTGCATTTCATGTCTGTGTTAGTTTGAAAAGTACTGATTGCCATTAAGTGTGGTTCTTCACAGAAAAGAAATCAGACAATCCTCTTCCAGCCTTTGGTTGATTTTTAGTGGGTAAGAAAATAGATATTCTCTATTCCTTCTCAGATTTATATATTGTGGACTCTCCACCAGTGGCTTTCCCAGATGGGAAACAATTGCTCTTTCTGCTCAGAATGTTTTGTTTGCATTAGCAATAAATAATGAATCACTTTGCAGATCAACCCTTGAGGTACTATTGCTATTTTGACAACTTGGATTAGCTAGTGCTCCTTCTTTTTATGAAGGTTTATCCTGCCAAGACATTCTTTGAATACTGATAATGTTGATCCTCTTGCCAGTATGGTTATGTTAGAAAGAGGTATTTTTCTTCTTTCATCACCATGTTCCTTGAAAGCATATTGAATAATGAGACAGCCAAATGGAAATAATTTACATGAGTATTCAGCAAGTTTATTTAAAGTTAATGTTATCTGAAGGCGTGCTAAGAACATTTCAAAGTCAGCTACTGCTTAAACTGCCTCAAACCCTTCAGCCCCAAATGCTGTGTTCTAGCAACCTGTGAGCTCTGGCTGTGTTTTACCCAAGGTGGTAAAACACAGCTTTTAGTAGCTCCAGTTCTTCTCTGGAGCTGCAGTTTACACATTCTTCTCTGTTTAATACCAGTAGCTCTCAGCTCAATCTCTACAAACCATTGATGTTGAAGAAATGCCCTTCTGTTTTGTAAGAGTGATGATCTGGAATGCTTTAATTCTGTTTCAGTTGCCTTTATTCCACAAAAGCCAAAATGAGCAAGGACTCACAGTAACTATACCTATTTTAACAATATCAGATATAGTAGAGCCAAAAAAATTTCAGCAACAGATGGTTTAGATGGTGCCTATCAGTAGGTCACACTGTGCACAACTGGTCCCACGTCTTGTGCAAAGTACAGATGGGCCATAAGTAGGCTCAGTAAATTTTCCAGTTCTTGTTGAGGAAAACTTGGCATAAGTGAATATTTTTTTCCAGTGTTTTTTTCACACATAACATTTTGAAGCTTGGTCACACGCAGTTCTGCCTAGAACTGTTTCTTAAGGGAGTCATGAGTCAGAACTTTTGGATGCAAAGTCCATTTAAAAAGTCTTGTAATAACTGTGGGTAGTATTCTTCCCCAAACCCCCTTTCATTGGTGGTGTTGACTTAAAGGATGCCACCTTTATGTTTTCTTTACACTAAGTCTCCTCTATTTTCCAAAGTTGCATAATCTTAACTAACAGTTTGTACGAAATAATCAAAATCCAGGGTTTTTCTGTGTGTCCCTGTCCTCTGTAATAAGTGTAGAATTTTTGAGATTGTGTTAGCCATTATTAAAAATTACTATTTTTAATAATGTCAATATACTTTGCATTCATTCATTGTGTTTCCAAACTCTGCAGTAGCTGCCTGTTCAAAAGAAATGTGAATTGAATAGAAATAGCAGCACATAAACTGTATCTTGAGTTAGAAAAGTTACTCTGTTTAATGTAATGATGATGAATGAAATCCCTCCCTAATATACGTGTCTTAAAATATTAAGAGGAATTATGATTAAGAATCTGCAGTGGTCTGCCACCAACATGCTTCCATGCTAACCTGGAATACAGCTCAGTCTTTGCTGCTATTCGTTGTTCAGTGGCTTTGCTGAGAAAGCCAAACAGAGAGTTAATTATGGTGTTTTTTTGTGCTGAGGACACCTGTCCACTAGGAAATGCGCTGAGACCCTCAACTCAATTTACATCAGCCAGAGAACAGCTGCCAGATGGTAACTACTTTTGGTCACTACCAACCTGGTTGAATTTGAACTGGTGACCCAGAGGTGAAATGCTTTATATCCTATTACTAATTCCTTGAGGTTTCCAGTTTCTCATCCATCACTTTTTTCAAATGACAGCACAGTATATGTCAAAAATCTCAAAACAATTACTGTTTCACATATGCAGTGTGTGTTGTGCTGAATCTGAGATGTGCCATTGCAAGGCTTTTGCACTCACACTG